AATTCTTGACCAGAAAAAGGCAAAGTAATTAATACAACAGTCCAAATTCTTTTCAGAGGGATGTGTTTTTCTGTAAGTGTTTTTTGAAAATTGTGCTGCAGGGTATGTAGTAGTCGCCAGCATAGTGCATGGGTTAGTCTGTTAATGCATCAGCATGACATAAAATGAAACAAGATGTGTTTGGAGACATTTCCAGCAAACTGCATGTACTTTTGTCTGTAGCAGTCAAAAGGTAAAATGGCCTTCAGGGAGCTTTGTAAACAGTGAAAATTCAGTGATATAATGTAACTTTCATCCATTGCCTAGTAAAAAAAAGGATGGCAGAATTTCGTCGTTGCTAACTGCTGCTTTAAACAGCCAATTTAAGCTATCAATAATTAATGTTTAAATCTACTGATCAGAAATACTGTTTCAGAATAATTTACTCTCATATTTTTGTAAAATGCTAAGCCAGTTTAACCATAGGTACAATGGCAAAGCAAGCCATCCTTAATGACGAACGTGCAGTTGCAGGGTTTGGTGTGTGTGTGTTGTTGCTGTTTTCTCATGTTCTTTGATGTAATGCTTTCTTAACTTGACGTTGCAGGTCCTGGTCTAGCAATCAGAGTGATATGTGCTGAAGAACCCTACGTGTGCAAAGACTTCCCCGAAACAAATAATATTTTGAAAATAGTTGCAGATTTCTCTGCAAGTGTTAAAAAGGTAATAACGTTACTAAATTCAAATGAGCATGCATTTCTGCAAATTCAAATAAGTAGGCATTTTCTGCAGTGAAGTACAATGATGTTTGAAGCGTTAAAATTTAAAACTGTTCATGTGTGCTCTTTGAAGAGCTGTGCATTCCAGTACAATTCACCTGAAGCAGTTCTACATGGTACAGTAGGTTTTTCTGAACCATATTCAGTTGCAAGCATTAGCTGTCTCTTAGGAAATGGAAGTTTATATACTTTTCAAATAGTAAATGAATAAAAACAAACCCCACCTTTTGACAGATGAGTCTTTCTGGAAATACTCAAATCATGTAGTATCAGCAGAAGATGGTTGCCTACAAAAACAATTGTAACTTTCTAGGATTGCATGTATTAAAGTCACCGAGTGCCTAGATGAAAGGACAAGAATGAGAATTCCTTGTTTGCCCAGTGTTTAAACAAAAACCTGAGGTACTTGATGACTGGTTTTTAAATTTTCAGTCTCTTGACCATCATGATTACATTGAACTCCCTTAGGTTGAGCTGAAGGGGGCTGAAAGGACCTTAGCAGAGACGTGAAGCATAAATTCAAAACAAATTCCAAAGCTTTTTTGAAGAAACACTGCAGTGTATGGTGCTCCTGATCACCAGCAGGCCACAAAGGGGAGTATTTGCAGTGTTTTTCCTTTAAAGCATGTTAAATTGGCAGTGTATCCCAGCAGGGTATTGATTTGTTCTGTATCTGAAACAATGTTAAAATATCCTGGTCTGGAGGGGAGAATGGATGTAAGAAAGGAGCCTACCTCTTACCTTGGAGAGCTTCAATTTAAAATATATCCAGGCTAAGCAAATAAAACTGACTTTGCTCAAATTAGTACTTTGGTGAAAGGTGTTTTTTTTTAAAATATTTTTAAAAAAAAATTCTTCACGATTTTGTAAATAGTTTAGAGGTGCAAATATGAACTAAACCTAAGCAGCCAGCAGGTAAAAGGATCTTTTTTTTTTTTTTTTTTCCCTCATTGTGTAAGTTTCGTTTGGGAGGTTGGGGCTCTTTATTGTAATTAAAAGCTGTTTTTTCTGCGTTGCTGCACAGCCACATACATTGTTGCAAAGGGTCAAAGCATGCACGAGTGAGGAAGACCAGGAGAGGCTGATGCAGATTACAAGCCTACATTCACTGAATGCCTTCTTGTTACCCATCAAAACTGTGGGAGTGCAGGTAAGGGGATTCATTCCAGGGATGTTAAATCTTTTCCTAGCAGCTTGACAGGCTGTAATTAAACATAGAATCAGTGCTGAAAGAGTAAAAATAAAAGAGCTTGGCCGAGAAAATGAACTTCAAAAGACTCTCCTAACCGTGTTATTTTCATTTGTCACTGCTGGTAGTGCAGAGGTCTCAAGACATCTGAAATCATGTTTGACTAAATGGCAGGTATCATGTTTGAGGATATTGGCTCACCTGAAATAATTGAGGCTGGATAATGGTGGTCACTTCTGCCAGAGGCAGTTTCTTCATGGGATTCGTGATCTTGTAAACTTTTGTTGTAATCCTCTTGCCCCTTTGAAGGATGAAGAGTCCCAGTCTAAGTTAGTTAGAAAGGCTACTTTCTGCATTTGGATTATCCCTGCTGCCCTTTCCTGTATTTGGTACTATATTCTTGAGAGGAAAAGAACCAAAGAAATGCAGATTATTCAGGGTATGGGAACATTCAGAGTGGCATAAGGTTTTTTTTTCCTTTCAGTCCTATTCCAATGCTGTGGAAATTTTTGTATTCACTAAATACGGAGCTGGCATTTTCATGGGATTGCATACAATAACTTAACGATTTTCTAAGTAGTCAGACACTTTGTTACTTGCACTCTTCAGATTATGGATTGATTCTTTGAGGGCATCATCAATCCCTGTCCTCTGGGGTCTCATGCATCTCCAGTCCAAAAGCTTTCTTGTTCTTTTATACGCTCTTGTTAGCTCAGGGGAGATCTTGCTAGAATTCTGTTTTTCTTTCTCTTCAATTGATATCTCTAAGCATGCAGACTTCAAGAGATTAGTGTCTATCAAATATTGACACAAAGTATTGTCTGTAACTTGCAGCTTACGAAGTGAACGGGAAGGTAATGTGAATAATTTTGGCAGTAAATTTGAAGACAGATTTATTTTTTTTCTTCCCCCCAGGGTGACTGTCGTTCATATAGCTACGTTTGCGGGATCTCCAGTAAAGATGCTCCACACTGGGAGTCTCTTATGTTTCTTGCCAGACTCATACCGCGCATGTGCCACAATATAAACAGGTAAGCATTCTCTGTTCAGCATCGAGTGTTTTTATTTCTGATGATCCATTCAATGTATGCAATCTAATGCCTGTGCATAACCTAATGCCTGCTGCTTGTATTTCATGTACAGCATCACTTTTTTTATATGACACAGCTGTATTACCCAGTGGTTATGAAATTCAGCACATCAACATTTAGATTTATTTTGGAGTTGCTAACCTCAAAAATCATTTGTTATCCTTTCTTCTCGTAATAAGTGCTTGATCAGATGAAATCCAGTGCAACTTAAAGTGTAATTTGAAAGCCTCTAAGCCTATTAGTGACTTGTGATGTCATGTAGTGTTTCCTTTGCATCAGAAAAGATGATTACAGGGAACTGTTAGCTCTAACGCTACAAAGGAAAGTTCCAAAGCTAGGCAACCTTAGGGAGCCCTCCTGGGAATAGACTATGGCCTCTGGTTATTTGGTTGCATAAATTTTCCAGCAGCTGAAGCTTCTTTGAGATCAAAACAAGTTTTTACACTGCTGGAAGCTATTTTGGAGACTGAGATGTTAGAAGCTGTGGGAATTTGGATACTATTCTGGAGAATGAAATCCTCCTTGCCTGACTGTAGACTTTTTTTGGCAAAACTGTTTATAATTACTTATAACAAACGGTTACTTCAGCAGTGTGTCACCTGTCAGAACAGGTGGTGTTCTTATTATAACAAACGGTTACTTCAGCAGTGTAAGTGTCACCTGTCAGAACAGGTAGTGTTCTTGATGTGAATGAGTTAGAGCATTGCTATGTTCTTCAGCTTGTTTGCAGATTTAATGCTACTCTCAACATTTGACCACCTCTCTAAGTGTTCTGCTGTACTGGGATATGTTTCTTGGAACTTTTGGTTGGTGTTTATAGGGACACTAAAGGAGCTTGGGAAGCTGGCAGTGCACTGAAACAGTTGGTCTTCTGCCCAACTATGCTTGCAGATTTTATACTGCAAACAAAAATCTGGAATGTAAATCTTCTGTATTTTCCTGCTTCAGATTTTAGACAAATATTCTTGGTGTATATCTGCAAACTTGTGAGTAACTTGTATGAGTTTGTCATAGTAAATAAAAGCCTTTGTGTGATGCTGGTGAGACAACGTTATACTTTGCTTTTTGTTCCACACATATAAAAGGACAGTAAGTGAGATTAAAAAGATAAAGTTGATGCAGCTAATTTGAATTCAGAAGTTTATTATGGATGCTGTAAACTGGTATGGGTGGCATGTGATGAAAGTGCTGCTACTGATGTGCTAATGAGGAGTATTTTATTTAACAATGCTTTTGCAGGTTTCCCCATAGGGGAGAAGATATAAATTGTAAGCATTTATTAAGCAGCTTTCTTAGAATAACCTTAACTTTAACCAACATCAAAGTAAAAGTTTAAATTAAAAAAAAAAAAATCTGTGATACCACTGAGTTGGCATTTCTCTCTCTTTTTTTTTTTTTTTTTTTTTTGTGGATTATTCTTTTGAATAAGTGATGTTGAGGCTATTGCTAGTCTCTAGGAAACCAAAATAAATTAATACCTGTACTAAGCTTTGGAAGTCAAATGTATGTTATGTTTATAGAACATATGCATTAAATTATATAAAGTTCTAGTTGTTAAGTAATGAGCCAAGTCAAATGTTTAATTTCTTTATTTTTGGGTTCCGCTGCCTTCGCTGCAGTCTGCTTTACTCCACGCACACACAATGTGGTTTTCTGCTCTCCGGCTTGTTTTCCAGAGTTGTGTATGTGTTCGGCCCGCCGGTCAAGGAGCCTCCTACGGATGTCACCCCCACTTTACTGACCACGGGAGACCTCAGCACTTTACGTCACGCTGACTTTGAGGCTCACAATATTCTCAGGGAGTCTGGTAGGTATTTGGCCTTATCCCACAGGCTCGACTCCTGTTCCAAGGTTCCTGCAAGCCCAACTGGATATAGCGGCATTGGTCAAGTCAGAATCTGTAGCCAGAGCTCTTGGGTATCTGCAGAAAGTTCCTGCTTTAGCGAGATGACAGGCAAGAGCCTCGTGAAGTTTGGAGTCTGATAGCTCAAAGACAGGAGTTGCTCGTCTTTCTGCTAGCAGAACTGATTTTAGGGCTTTAACTTTCAGGTGCTTTTTGAAGATCTACAGAGTAACCTCCTTGCAGCAGCGTAACATCTCCTCATAACTGACAAAACATTTTTCCTGTAGCACCTTCCCCTTTCACATAATGCCTCTGTCTGGTAGGGGTCAAGCTTTATTCTGACACGTTGCACACCCCGAGGTAAACCAAAGCCCTGCAGTGAGGGATTGTGCCAGAAGAACTGCTGGCCAGCTGGGAGGCAGCAGAACCACCT